AGTCTTGGTGTTGTGAAGTTTTGTTTTACCGTGTACTAGTGAGCACCATTGCATCAACTCAAAATGAGGAGAAGTGTTGCTTTTTATAGGACCCATGGGCAATCATTGGCCCAAAGCACTGACTTGCCATTTCTAGAGCCGTGGTGGGCCATCCAGGCTATACATGAAGTGTTGGAAAGGTCTGGGGATAGTCTGTTGGTTTAGTACAATAGGCACTGTTCATTTAACAAGATACCTCCACACATCACCTGGATTATAAACAGGGAACAAGCTCACCTTTCTCCCCTCATCTCTAATTCAGTTCATATTACTGAGCCGCAGCATAGGTAGAAGTGGCTGCCTCTGAAGTAGCATCTCTGCATGCTGTAGAGGGCTCTGGAGTAAAGCACTGGCAGACAGACTGAGGCTAATGCTGGGATGGAGCAGCACTGAACTATCCCTGACTAGAATACTAATGGCCACAACAATACAGTAGTCCTCGCAGACAGACAGCCACAGAGAGTGGTGACTGCCCTCAGCTCCCTTCTCATGAAATATGATCTGCAAAACACCATGCCCAGTAGTGTGACAGCCCCGACAGAGCAGTGCTGTGACCACAGTGGCACCACTGTGTTATTAATACCACTCAATGTGACAGGCAGGAACTGAATACAGTTGGTGGCATTCATGTGGGCCGGTTGCTACGGGTTTGGTAGAGCATGGACAGGAAGTAGCCGTGACAGTCCTTCCACTTATAGAAAAGCAGTAAAAGTAGCAGTGTGGTGGCAGTCTGTGAATGCAGATATCCTCCTATATGACACTGTAGGTCACATGTGTATGTGAGCCTAACATAGAAATAGGATCTGTATGGAACCTAATAAGAGCGTATTCTGTTCAGGCAAGACAACCCAGGCTGTAGGCAAGATTTTAAATATCAAACACGCTGACATTTGGGCTAACATACAGACATGACTGGTATTGATACACATTGATATTTGTAAAGTACGTACAGAACTTAAATCTGTACCAAATTATGCAGTAACTAAGTTGTAATAATAGATTGATAACAATTAGTTTAGTAACTACTATAAAAAGACTCATTGGTCTTACATTAAGTATTTGTTTGATGTAACACAATGCTCTCTTTCATGACTTGAGCCCCTAGCGGTGTTGTGGTTTACCTGGGCCTGTCCCTATGGTTATATGACTACACCATAATAACAATCATGAAACATTTCTAGTAATCACCTCATTCCAATGGTGACTGCAATACCAATGGAGCCCACCTTTTAAAAACAGAGTTGGAGAGAAAATAGGTGTTTTTTGCGATGTGATTTGCACTGCAGGTGTCGACTCAACAAGTAATGGATCTACTACATGTAACACCCTCTTGAAACATTGTCACCAAAATAAACTGAACAATGCAGAAATGTTTCTGAGAGAACTGACAATTGACTAATTTACTAGAAATCATTAGAACAAGAGAGTATTTCCCCTTTCCCAGAATAAACTTGTCCATGAGATGTCTCTCCCATGCATGCCAAACTCCACTAAAACTATTTCCCCAAAATGATGTGATTCCCAAGAATGATGGGTGTCATGTTGGTAAATTCATCAGTTATCAATCAGTTACATGCAAAAATGTAGGCCTTCACATTTTTTAAGTGTGAATGTTGATATGTTTCCATTAATTCATTGCAATTCTAAACCCAGTGATGCATGATTCGAAATAATCATGATCTGACCTAAATTTGGAGGGGTAAAGTTGAGGCATCAAATCACAGGGTGCACATACTTTATGGAAATGATACTGGATTCTTAGAAATAATGTACCAAATGAGTGCATAAACTATACAAACGCCTGCATATATTTTTTATTGGTATTTTTTTAGGTTCACATAAACAAACCACATTTTTCTCCTTTAAAAAAGAACATATTTGTATACACATAATGCATTTACTATGTACATCTTAATACATTAGGGTAATTTTCTTTTGCACAGCAAAGATATGACATTATGTTTATGAGACCGTGTAGGCCTACGAGAAAACGATATTATACACATAGCCTAATAAACTTAATACTCGACTGAATTTCACAACTGTTTTTAATTGTAGAAAAGTGTTCTGAAAGGAGAGTGAGGGACTTCTAATTTAACCCATAGAACCAAAAAGTAAACGTGCTTTTAAAATGTAAAGTTACATATTTCTGGACAATGTTGTTCAAGACAAATGGCATTTCCACGAGGGAAATAGGTTGGGTAAACAAGCTCTAATACAAACCCTCTTATTGACGAGTGGGAATCACTGTCCTGGTGCGCACTGCGAGTTTGGGGTTCAGTCTCAGCATGCAGTCCTCCCCTTTTAGGCTATCCATGTTTCCCAGAATACCATTCAATAACAGGTGTTTTTTGTGCAGATTTTGTCCACAATCATTGTACCAACCCTCTTATATCCTTTCACGTCAGCGAAGAGGCACAATACTACAGGCATTGCCTACACTCTCCTTTAAATGGACAGCGTAAAATAAACAGAAAAGGAAATTATTCTTAGTGGAGTCAAATTTGGCTCCAGGAAAATGCAGACTTATTCATGTTATTTCCTGCATCTTCCCCCCCTCGAATCCGTTTGAGACCGAAATTGGCTCCTGGTTGCTTTCTATTGACGATTCGCTGCCTGTGCTCTCACCAGAGAGGAGTCGGGTAACCCTAAAGTCCGCTTTTAGTGTTTGTACGTCGTTTCCTATGCTCATCTCTCCAAGGTCACTGATAATCTGGGACAGTTCCTGTTTACCATTGCCCACACAATCGTCATTCGTGTCTAGAATGTCCTCACACTCAAAGAGCATCGCTTTCTCCTCCTCCTCCTCCCCGATCAAGTCCTCTGTGATAGAGCCCAATTTGGGCGCGCTCCTGCTGCGCTCCACCGGGGGTTTGTAATAACACTGTCCGTTTAGAAGCTTCCTGAGGGGCACAAGGGGTATGGTTTGTTCCCCTATCAGCTGCTGTTGCTGGTGCCTTGCATCGTCCCTCCTTTTAAGTCTTTTAAATTCAGCAAGTGCTGTTGCCGAGGTCTGGTACAAAAGCAGTGCCATGGCCTTTGCCTTCTCCGGCTTGGACACCAGCACGGCATGGCACCGCAGCATCACAGCCTTGTGCTTCATCTCATGTCTATATATCCAAGCGAAAATTTTGGGTAACCTTGGGTCGGCAACGCAATAGGTTATCCGGTGCAATAAATACAAATGTCCCGGTCTTCTCGCCTTGTCATCCACATGCACCATCCGGATGCCCTGCGAGCTGATGGTCAGTTTCATCTTCGTGCCATTTTTGCCCATTTCGCTCTTGCCCCAAATCTTGCTCACAGCCACGTCCGTACAGCCTTCTCCTTTCGACTGGATGGTGGTGGCATTACCCAGGTAGAGGACCGTGTATGTGGGGTCTTCGCTGGTAATTTTCACCTTTTTCCTTTTTGACTTGAACATGCTTCCAACCCTGTTCAAAGCACTCTCCGGACAAGACTTGGCAAAGGAGGTCAGCGCAGAGTAGTTCAAACTCACGGCATAACCCTTCTGCTTCGACTGTTTATCTTCATCTATCAGATCGAACTTATTCTTCTTCCAAGGTAGCATTATATGGTCGTGTCACGTCCACAGCAATACAATCTACAACTACAGCGAACGTTTTACTGCAACTAAATCTGATATTTTTACTGACCCTTTTCATTTAAAAGCAACTCCAATACAACAAACGGTCAAGTTATCCTGTACTTCATTTGCTCATCCTCTGAAGACTTCTCCATAACCACACAACTGCGCTATCCCATTCTGTTGTTTCTGACTGCTAGACTGTGAAGTTGGTTCTGCTGAGAGTGGGATTGTCTACAGTGCATATATACTGGGTTGAACCATTTCAGTGTCTCTGCAAGGGAACATAGAGGGAGAGACCAAAGTGAAACAACTCTCCCTTGAGGATGCAATTGGCACTCAGCACTTACCGAGGTTTATTTATGAACTGAAATAATAAGAATTTGGGAAATATAGGGTAATTTACAAAACTGATACAACAGTTTATATACATCCGACCTGTAAATTTCAACAATAATTCCGTTGTACCTACGCTCACTCAGAACACAACGGATAAAACTTATCTGTATCTAGAAACAGAAACCTAAATGCAAGAGATACAAATATAACCTATAAATAGCCTACCTATAGTTTCATTATATCAAGCGAATAATACAAAGTAACGCTGGTTTGCTGTCAATTATTCAATGCATGGCAATGCACCAAAATAATTAAATAATTATTGTGGAACTCATCCTTTGTTTTATGCTGCCATCTGTTGGCAATGCAACAGAGTTTCCCCCGTACTGATAACGTGCGTCCAAGCCTCTTTCATTAGTCTGTAACAAGCTTAAAATAAAATAACGTTTAAGAATAAGACTGTTATAAGTAGGCTATACGTATAATTAGGCTAAAGTAGAATAGTCTCTTCATGAAACACCCCCAAACAAAATAGTGTGGAATTTCTGAAAATTATCCCCCCAAAAAGGAAAAAAATAACTCTGTATAAATGTGCAAAACAAAGGCCTACAGTTATGAAAAAATATAGTTTACAAATCTATCTTAACTTGTTTCTTGTGTTGCGCATGCATTGCAGACATGTAATTAGAAATATATTGAGTAGAAATGTATACAATTTAGTATCGACATTTAGATGGTAGCACATGTCACATGAATTTGTCCTTGGCGGAACAATTCTTTGGCGGAGGATGTTTCCTTCAATGCATATTTGAGTGTTGGACACATCTTTTGGAATGTACCATAAATCCAAAGTCAATGCGCAAATCATTACATTAATTCATAATAAAAGCTACAAAAATACACACCGAGTCTGATTCAACAACCTCCAGAGATAAGTCTAATTATACATTAGATAGAAAAATGATTAATCTCGATAGTTATTCGTCATTCTTAAGTGCAGTTGGGACGTTCCGTTTCACTTCCTCATGGGACAACAATTCTCACATGGGCTAAATTTGACAAAAAGCGATTTGCGGTAACAAGCAAGGCTAAACCCAAACCTAAAATGGGTAAGAAGAAGTCTGCCATGGGGCTCGGGAGATCACTGATAAAAGAGAGACTCAACGCAGGCCGAGGCAACAAGAGGGGCGATACTTGGGTAACGTTACCTGTTATGTTGATGATACAAGTTGCAACAGCTAGCTAGCTAAACCTATAACAGTAGATGCCTACCTCCAAGGGTTCTATCCAGTACTAGCTTACTATTTAGCTGAGTAACGTTAACTGGAGAAAAGCAGAATTTGGTGAATACTGCCCTGTTGAAAATAAAGTAACTACATGTTGTTTTAATGGCCGTCTGTCTTATTAGCTGTAGCTAACTAGACAACTTTCTGATGACTGAACTCGATCTCACATTGCCAGCTCCACACCAGTGAACTGAACGATGGCTACGATTGGGGTCGTCTCAACCTGCAGTCAGTGACTGAACAGAGCTCTATGGATGACTTCCTTGCAACTGCTGAAATGGCTGGGACAGAGTTTGTTGCAGGTAAATACTCTATTGCATTGACGTGACAAGTGATCCTTGAAACTGTCATCTACAAGTACTTTAGACTGGATTGCCAGGATGCAACTGATGGGTAAAATGTTTCCCCAGAAAAGCTCAACATCAAGTTTGTGGCAGCTGAAGCTCGGGCAGGATTACTGACAGCTGAGGAGACGGCAAAGCTGAAGAAGCTGCACGAAGAGAACAAACAACTCCTCAGAATTCCACGAAGGTGCAGTAAGCACAGAGACTCCAAAGACATTACACTGTCAACATTTATTTTGTGTTCTTTCTAGTTGTCTTAGTAGTAAGACTTGTGCTAATATTGCATTGCCTCTGATGTTCCATTACTGTATCTTCTTTGTTTTGTCATATTGCAGGCCTCACTGGGATGAGAGCACCAGTCCAGAGGTCCTCCAGCAGACAGAGAGAGACAGCTTCCTGGAGTGGAGACGAGAACTGGCAGAGTATGAAACCCCTACAATCACACCACTTACACACCACTTACCACTTAAAATAATGCATATAGAGCAATAATAATGCAGTCTTTTTTGTAGGCACTAACTCCGCCATGGCTCGTTGGCCAAAGCCTATGGGGAAATGAATGTTTTTTTTGTAGTGTTTTTGGATAAATGCCAAAAATGAAGTCTGTGGTAAACACAGAGGAGATCTTATATGTTTTGTTCTATGATATAATCTTCATCAGCTAATGTCACCTTTTGTGAATTTTGAAGCATTTATGTAATCAAAACAAGCACATAAAGGTTTCATAATTCATAAAGGTTTATTCTATTATCTCATAGAATAAAATGTATAAGATCTCCTAAGCCTGTATTTATCCCAAAACCCCATTATTTCCCCATTCATTTCCCCCATAGGTATGGCTGAATTAACCAGAGGTAACTCATTTCTGGTTTTCAGGACTACAAGCTTGCAAGCTCTATAATAGTAATAAAAAACGGCACTTTGTCATATCTCAAAATGTAGTCTCAACATGTGGGAAACATGGTGGAAGAACCGGGATCATTTTAAATTTAAGGGACATTGCACTATACACCACCGGAAAACGCATTCATTTCAATGTAATTTAATATTAATGTTTGGACATACAAAATTACAATAATTTTGAGAAATTTGACATCAGTCCTCATTTAACAATGCTTACCTACCTATAAAAGCAGACCTAAAGGTCCTAATCCAGGCACTTGTCATCTCCCATCTGGATTACTGCAACTCGCTGTTGGCTGGGCTCCCTGCCTGTGCCATTAAACCCCTACAACTTATCCAGAACGCTGCAGCCCGTCTGGTGTTCAACCATCCCAAGTTCTCTCATGTCACCCTGCTCCTCCGCACACTCCACTGGCTTCCAGTTGAGGCTTGCATCTACTACAAGACCATGGTGCTTGCCTACGGAGCTGTGAGGGGAACGGCACCTCCTTACCTTCAGGGTCTGATCAGACCCTACACCCAAACGAGGGCACTACGTTCATCCACCTCTGGCCTACTAGCACCCTACCTCTACGGAAGCACAGTTACCGCTCAGCCCAGTCAAAGCTATTCGCTGCTCTGGCACCCCAATGGTGGAACAAGCTCCCCCACGACGCCGGAGTCACTGACCACCTTCTGGAGACACTTGAAACCCTACCTCTTTAAGGAATACCTGGAATAGTATAAAAGTAATCCTTCTAACCCCCCCCCCCCCCCCCCCATAAAAAAAAAAAAGGGTTGTCATAAAGTTGAATGCACCAATTTGTAAGTCGCTCTGGATAAGAGTGACTGCTAAATGATGTAAATGTAAAGTAATTTTTGTAATATTGAGATGAGTAAAAATGCTATGCAAATTCACATTCTAATATGGCATTGCTAGTATGACCCTTGACTTCTCAACCGCCTGGTAGCTCTGTTATTTCCAAAATCATAAAGTTGGGGGGAAAAAAACAATTGGAAGTTCTTATGAGTTAGTAAAAGGAATTTAAAGTTTTTCAAGAAGAGACCGTTAAAGGGTTAACACAGATTTCTGTCATCAGTGCCCTGAAGTTTATCTATCTTGTTTTATAGGCTTGAAGAGGAGCAGAAAATGATTCTCACCCCTTTTGAGAGGAATTTGGATTTCTGGAGACAGCTCTGGAGAGTGATTGAGAGGAGGTAGGAATCAGAGCTGCTCTGTCTTTTGAGTGATTGTCAGCTGTTTGATGCCTTGTATGATGGTGGAAATGTTGTGACTTTTCCTCTGCAGTGACGTTGTTGTTCAGATTGTTGATGCCAGAAACCCATTGCTATTTCGTTGCCCTGACCTGGTAAGTAAAGTGCCTAAGGCTGTCACATCAAACAATTGAGGCCAATTTTTCTTGAATGGGGGATGACATTGCCAGGTTGGGGAACCCGCCCCACCAAACTGATAGTAAGGGAAACATTGCAGCATTTCACCCATTGGTCTTCCTGGTTCCTGTAGGAGTGCTATGTAAAGGAGGTGTCCCGGTACAAGGTGAACTTGCTGCTGGTGAACAAGGCTGACCTGCTGACCCGGCAGCAGCGGAGGATTTGGGCCAGATACTTCCAGAGAGAGGGCCTCCGCGCTGTGTTCTGGTCCGCACTGGTGGAGAACGAGAGGCTGGAGGCAGAGGAGAAGGTGAGGAGGAGGCAGTCACATTTTTAATTGGAAGGGCTGGTCTTAGCCTGGTTAAACCTGGTTACTTTTTTGACTGATGAAAGACAAGTTGCTAGGGTTCTCCTCTTCTGCCCTTGTTCATTCTACACAGGGAATGGAAGTGGAGGAGCAGGAGGATGAAAAGAGCGAAGCAGAGGATGAAGAGGAGGGAATGCCAGACAACGACAATGTGAGCCGAAGACGGGAGGTAGAGGATAACAAGGAAGAGAGTGAGGAGGAAGAAAATGAGGAGAGTGATATGGAAGAGGAGCAGCAGAGAGGGGAGCAGTTTAAAGACTGCGTAGCAGAGGGAGACTGGCAGACGGCATCAGAGGGTGAGGAGGTATCAGAGGGTGAGGAGGTATCAGAGGGTGAGGAGATATCAGAGGGTGAGGAGGCATCAGAGGGTGAGGAGGCAGACGACGAAGAGAGTATAGATGGCTCCACCCACGGCTCCGCCTTCCACAACTCCAGTCGCCTGCTGACCAAAGATGAGCTGCTGGCCATATTTAAGGCTGCTCACGATGGGCCAACGTTGAAAGAGGGCGAGCTCACAGTGGGGCTGGTGGGTACACACAGATACACACACTGGAAATCAATAGAACAGGTATTGTGTTTGGAGTGACATTTGTGGGAGCTCAATTTCTCCTATATACTCTCTGAACAGGTGGGGTATCCCAATGTGGGCAAAAGTTCCACCATCAACACCATTCTGAGAAATAAGAAGGTGTCCGTCTCAGTCACGCCTGGGCACACCAAGCACTTTCAGGTAAAGAACGGCTCTCTGATGTAGCCTGCTGGACCTCTAGAAATGTGTGCCTTAGTGACGATACATTTTTCTTACGGCGTCAAATAAAGCCTTCAAGTGTGTTTGTGTGTGTTCCAGACGCTGTACGTGGAGCCGGGTCTGTGTCTGTGTGACTGCCCTGGCCTGGTTATGCCCTCCTTTGTGTCCACTAAAGCTGAGATGATCTGCTGTGGGATCCTGCCCATCGACCAGATAAGAGACCATGTGCCTGCCATCTCACTCATATCCTTCAATTACCAACCCTACATACCGCTCATCTGTTTAGTTATGGGTGTAGAAGAGAGTAATATTTATTGTCTCAATCAATAGATAAAACTGGAGCAATCTCTTTTTAAAATACATTTGATTCACGGCTAGATCTGTTTAAGTTGGACCAAAATAGAGCTGCACATTATGTAATCATTTCACATCATTTCACTCAGGTAAAGGAGTTTTCAGATGTTTGATTGGGTGTTCAGTGTGGTTAAGGCCTTAACAGACTGCTCACGTGTGTCAGACTATTCCTCGGGATGTGCTGGAGGGCACCTATGGCATCAACATCATCCGCCCACGAGAAGACGAGGACCCCGACCGCATACCCAACTATGAGGAGCTACTGATGGCCTATGGATGTGAGACTATAAACCCTGTCCTTATTCAGTACAGCACAGTGTAGAACAACCGACATAGCAAAACGTAAGCCATGTGATAGTGATGGAGTCGGAGCAAGCCACTGACACTGTTCTAATCTGTTCTCTTTCAGACATGAGGGGCTTCATGACAACACACGGACAACCTGACCAGTCGAGATCAGCCCGTTACATCCTCAAGGATTACGTCGTTGTAAGTTAACCCTCGTCCTGCCACCAAATACATGCTCTTGTTGTACAATTCTGGTTTATCAGGCAGGATAGTCTAAATATTTTGTTTAGTCTGTTTACCTAAATTCAGTAGTGGTAATGGGAGAGCAGCACCACTAACTGGTTCTTTCTGACCATCTCCAGGGAAAACTGCTGTACTGCCACCCTCCTCCCCACATCAGTGCTGCAGACTTCCAGCCCCAGCACAGCAAGTTCCAGTCCGGAGATGCAGACGGTGAAGACTCCAAGATAGGCAACAAACCGAGCAAAGTCAAGAGGCACGAGAATCTGGTCGACAAGAACTTCTTCCATCAGGTACAGTAGAAGGCAACTCCATAGAAATTACATGAAAATGCCGAATTTGGACACAGCTGTCAAGATAGACACCAAACTCAAGCCAGTCTAGGCAGATTACCTTACAGCCATTGGTTGTAGTGAAATGGGATAATTCAGATACTAACCCCATTGTTGTCTTTTTTGTTCCAGGAGAATGTTCGGGCGCTCACCAAGGGGGTTCAGTCTTTCATGGGTTACAAGGAAGGCAGCATAGGACAGCGTGAACTGGTAAATCAGGGGAAACCTGGCTTAGAACAGCCTGTGGGCAAACCCTGGAAGAAGCATGGCAACAGGAACAAGAAAGAGAAAGTACGCCGACTCACCAAGCACCTGGATGCCTGAAGAACATCTATAAACTGTTAGAAATCGCTATTAGTTTGGATTGGAATGGAGTGTTAACCCCCAAAGGACTTTCCAATGCAAATACACAGGAATTGGTACTTAGTTGTACGTAGGGACTGGTCAACAACAATAACCTCTATTGCATTTTGCAATATGGAGAAACGGGGATTGGTTGCCTTTTGATATCAAACATTATTCAGAATGTTCTGTGTAACTCATTATGCATTGCAGTGACAGTACATTCCACTATAGCCACAGCAGAGTTGGGGTCCACTCAATTCCAGGAATTTCTGCAAATTAGGAATTGAGCCTTACTCTGAACAAGATGAAATTAATTGCTAAGGAGATCAATCAGTCAAGATTTATTTGGTTATAGATGTTTGTTACATATACAAGAAGGTGCAGCCTATTGTACTTTACAGCAGGGCTATTCAACCAGGGGTCCGCGGGCCCCCTGCAGGGGGTCTGCGAAAATATATTAAAAAGTTGATTTTTTTTAGAAATTAAAAATGTTTTTATGAATATCGCTAGCAACAACCATTTTTTTGTATTTATTATTACATACCTACAGTAGAAAAGAGGAGAATACTTTCTACTGATGTCAACTTTATTTCTCAACTCCTAATATTGAGCAAATTTCACTCACTGGAGCCAATTACACTCACTGGAGTATCTGACGTAGGCTTTGAAAAAGCACCCACGAATAGGCTACCAGTGTGGCAAGTGCTGCTGGTAAGCTTTCTTGACTTGGACATGCATGTTTGCCAACACATGACTAACCTTTGTTTTAACCAGCTAAACAGCTGCTCTTAGCAAAAATGTGTTTGGAGTTACCTTTCTAGCTAATAGGCTATATTAGAGTTTACACTTCCTCTTCCAATTATAATGTGGCTGCTGGTAAGCTTTCTTGACTTGGGCATACATTTTTGCTAACCTTTGTTTAACCAGCTAAAGAGCTGCTCTTAGCAAAAATGTTTTCAGTTAAAGTAAGTCAGTTTCAAAAAATGTTTAACGTATAATGGGGGTCCCTGGGTCGCCGGTTTGCCCTGGGCAAGAAAGGGTTGAAGACCCCTGCTTTACAGAGATAATTAACTAGTTGGATTCCCTAAGATCTACAACCCGACTTACTTTGCTTTACATTTCTTTGAAGCAACAACAATTGTGTAAGATCCCTGATGAAATAATTATATATTTCAGATGGTTTTCAAACGTTAATTTGTGGTGTTTTTGGCTCTCTTATGAGTGTATCCTCAAACTGCCACAACATAAGCCTCAATGAGGTACTTGAAGCTATTTGTATTTGTATTTATTAGGGATCCCCATTAGTTGCTGCCAAGGCAGCAGCTACTCTTCCTGGGGTCCAAACATATTAAAGCACTTACATTACATATAAAACAAAATATAAAACAGTACATCATATGACATTATTACACCACTACCTATCTACAATACAAAATGTTTAATACCACCATACAACAATATCACAATGTGTGCGTATGCATGTGTCTATACCCTTGTGTGTGTCTCTTCACAGTCCCTGTTGTTCCATAAGGTGTATTCTTGGCTCTATGTAGTACTGTGCGCCTCCCATAGTCTGGTCTGTACTTGGGAACTGTGAAGAGACCTCTGGTGGCATGTCTTGTGGGGTATGCATGGGTGTCCGAGCTGTGTGCCAGTATTCCAAACAGACAGCTCGGTACATTCAGCTTGTCAACACCTCTTACAAAAACAAGCAGTGATTAAGTCAATCTCTCTTCCACTCTGAGCCATCTCCGTGTACTTTTAAGGGCCAGCCGTGCTGCCCTGTTCTGAGCCATCTGCAATTTTCCCAAGTCCCTGTTTGTGGCACCTGACCACACTACTGAACAGTAGACTAGGTGCGACAAAACTAGGGCCTGTAGGACCAGCCTTGTTGATAGTGTCGTTATAGCCAGAGAGGAAGAGAGAGGTTTTACTCCTCCCAAAATCTGTCCACGAAAATAAGCCCAGGGTGTGAGGAATTTTTGTATGGAGTTCAATGAGAGTGTGTCGAATATGGGCAAAAAAAACAATTGCTTATTTGCTATGTGAGGCTTATGTGATCAAATAGAAGTTTCATAATGGTTAGGTTGTTACAAATGTACTGATGTAAGTGGACGCACGTGGCATTTCGGCAATTTACCCAACAAACGACTACAGTATATCTGAGATGTGCCTGTTGTCATAGAGATAGATAGAGGACTCATCATAGACATAACCTGTTTTAGCATGGACATTGCCATTGAGGGCTTCCACCGTTTTAAAGTAGTTAACTGGGTGGGGATTCCTATGTACTTCTTTGAAATGGAGATAGCCTCAATGGCACAGCTACAAAGATGAATCCTTTATTTATTTCTATGGGCCTGTTCACACGGGTATCTGCCCTCTCATTGGCTAGAATGGTCCCACCTGATCTCACCTCCCGCCTGCCTTCCATCTGAGGACACGCATTTCCATTGTTAGAGCGGTTACTCGAATATCAATATGCTATAGCCAACCTACATTTTCCTTTAGAAAATCCCCTTTATCTTTTAGTGTACAGCAGAAATGTGTCTCTGACTGTTCCTTTGGAAATGTGTTCCTTGGTTTGCAATTTATTTGCTTTGTTGCACATGACTGGTGTACTAACTCAGGGCATTATGTCCAAAGGGAAGTACATTAAATGTGCCTTAGAAATTATTTAAAATGTGACTACCATATTAATACACATTTAGGAACTAAGTAAAGCCATCAACATGCCTGGCAAGATAATGCGTTTAAATCCGAATATTGTATATTGACCCAGTGGTCTCTATTGGGCAGCGCTTTTGTGAAGCAAATTTGCATGTGATCAGGGCACAATTGCGCACCCTATTTACATACCTGTTCTGGGCACCACCTGTCGCAGCTGGTCGTATTTGCCATTCCATAGATTTGTTTTAGGTCAACGGCACAGTTAGAGGAGATATGGGAGTGGCAGCACAGAGTGTCACAAATGGACAAAGCAGAGCAGAAAACCTTTCGTTTGACTTGACGTCTTGGTGGCGCCCCGACATTATATCGACCTGTTTTTCAAACAGACAGAACGTTTGCATCTCGACCGGACTCAGCTGTTTGTCGGTGCTTCTTTTGATAATATCATGTTTTATGTGAGTATGTGGGTAATTACGCATTTAAACATGGAGTAATTGCATGTAAAGGCTACTTATTATAGATGTTTTACTTAACTTTTGTCTGCAACACTTGTTCAAGGCTGGTATGTCTGAGATGCAGAGTACGGGGCAGTGATTCTGGCAAGGAGGCAGCCTGTGCCCTCTACAGTTTCTTTGGCAATTTGTGCAGCACCGTCGGGGCATTTCTCTCCAATCAGCTGGCTCTTCAGGTGACAAGAAGACATTCTATTTCCAGAAGATGTATGGGCCTATACTGTATAAGATTATGATTACCTGCTACTGTACTTCCATCTCTATATTCCATGTTTCTTCCATTGTGATTGTTTTAGGTCATAATGGGTGGTTTTATGGCAGCTGTGGAAGTTATTAATTTCATCTCCATCGTCTTCCCTATATGCTTGTGTTGGAACACCAGAGCAGGTAAGAGAGAGGGTGGTTCCCTTTTACACGTCTCACTTTAGCCCTTTTTCCCCGAGCTGCTCACAATAGCCCTTTTGGCACAGCTTGTGCTTTGTATCCTGTCCTACAAGCCCTTATCAACACACTACACTTGCACAATTTGTATAGGCAAAACAGTAAAGAAAAGTTTTATCTGTAAAGCCGAGAGATACCGAACAAATGAGGCTGAAGAGAGGGCCTTGTGAAATTCTTTTCTTCTATCTTTCAATGGGCAACATTCAGTCAGCAGAACTGCAATCCTTAACCTTCGCCCCCTTTCCCTCATCCCTCAGAGAAGAGGCTGAGGATGATGAAGAGGAGGAGGAGGCAGAACTTCATGGCCGTGTCTCTGCTGTTGATGGTGGGTGGCTGGAGCTACCTAACCTCCAGGACCAGCCATGGGCTTGTAGACAGACCTCTCACTGGGAGAAGACTTCTTCTCACTGACCTCCTGCATGTAAGTGTGCGATTCTCCTATGAAATCCCTCTTCCATTACCTCCCATAAATTCCAGAGTTACCTTTTCAATGGCTCACTGACTACTACGCTGTCTTCTTGGGCAGGACCGCACTGAGGTCCTGGGTTACATTCTTGGTTTGCTCTCTTTTGTGATTGCCTGGACCTCCAAGTTCCCTGCCCTCTCCAGAGCAGTAAGTGACACCCCATCATAGTTCACGTCTATTCATGTCTGAGTTGCCATACTTTGATGTATTGTCACTACAGTCCCTCAAAACCAAGTGTAATGTAGTGAAGAACTGCAACACTGCATTATACATAACATAATGCTCACTGCAATACGGCATAATGCCCGTAGCACTTTAAACTTGATCTTTTAGCGCAGAGGGGAGCGTTCAAGGGCACACGTGTCCTCGGGGTTGCTGTGCTCTTTGGCCGGTGCCCTCTACACCTCGGCCATATTGCTCTACGACACCCAGTATGAGTTTGTACTGAGAGCCATGCCGTGGCTACTGGCGTCAACGTGCTGTGCAGCCATGGATCTTGCTGTATCCTTCTCCAGCTTATGAATGTGAATATTCCTTCTACATTATGTGAATAGAATATCGGGTCATCTCCCTGAATGGACCGAGTTCTAATTTAATTGAAACCCAACCCTTCTGTCAGTTTTGTCTTGACTTTATGGTCAGATCGTGGTCCTGTCCTGGTGCAGGAAGGGTACTACTGAGCAGCAGCCTGGAAGGGGTTCTCCAGACACAGAGAGTCTCCTGGGCGGCTCCTCTCCCCCCACTCAGCACAACCCCAGTGGGAAGCCCCCCAAAAAACACTCAGTAAGCCTAGAGTCCTGCATTCATATGCCTGGGTTGAGGAGATGGACTCTGAATGTCTGATAGATACTTACTTGTATAGATAGTATTGGAATGAAAGCCCAACTAAAGATCTTTAAGCTAGAGAATGAAAGACTAAATGGCAGTTTGCGAACTCGTTCATTAATGTCCGGGCTTTGCTTCACACAGTATTTGATAATCCTCTTTTAAATAAACACCACTCTATTTCCTCATGTGAGTTGGACTTGAATGGAGCTCCTCTCTGTGTTCTCTCCAATAAGAACAATTTAAAGTTGGCTGATATGGGACATTACATGGATGTCAACATTCAACCCGTGCGAAAGGTGAGGGTCAAGACTTCTTCAGAACGTCTGCCATGGGCAAAGTTTTTTTTTAACTTGACATACAACTCAGATTTGTACATCCTTTACTTACATCAATGTATGATTTCAGGTGTGTCTGAAGGAGGTGACTCTCTCTAGGGAGGAGGGTGTGTCAGAGAGCCATCCCCTCAGGAGGACAGTAAGGGTGGTGAGAGTGGACGACACGTTCTCAGACTCCTCATCCCTCAGCTCGGATCTGGAGGTCAGAAACAAACACATCCTTTATCAACAACTTTACTATTGTGTAAAATCATCTTCTACAGTGAGAGATTGCCCAAAATGGTCCAGGTCTTCTGAGTTAATGAAGTGTAGTACATGGTAGTCAAGAGATGTGAACTGTAAAACCACTTTCTGCCACAAGGTGGTGATAGTGTGTGGAGGATGGTTGAACACTTGTTGTTTGGGATTTATCTACACATCAAGGAAGCCTATCATTTTCAGTCAGGGACACATCGCAGGCTATTACCACCTAATGAAGGTATAATCAATACCTTTACCTGCAAGCTCTTCTGAAGTGCTTTGCTTGCCAACTTACTATTTATTTAACGTTACTTCATTATGCTCAGGCCTGCCCATGTGAACTTGCTATTCTGGTGCAGTGACAGTTCACTCATAACCAACCTGTCAACCTCATAATTAGGAAAAGTTTAGAATGGTTAGGGTGAGCGTGCGATGTCTTTAGTGCCTTTTGGAAAATGAATTTTCTATTGGCACCCCTTTTGTCCCTCACATCTTTAGAATAATAGTGCTCTCTGTGGTTCCGCAGAAAGCCAAGTCACAGAGGATGTCATTTAATCTGAAACAATTGCAAATGGTGTGAGTGAAAACAATTGGAACTTCATACTATTCACCAAACAGGAAAAAGCAAATGATGTGAACCTCCTCTGGCTAAGTACATTAAAGAGCAGGAGGGTCCAAACAAGGGTTCAGAACATACTGTGGTTAACATGGCTGAATTGAGTCATTGTCATTTTGTCAGCAGTGGCATTCTACAGCTATGGGCTGTAGTTTGTACAGTATTTGAGGGTTTTCATCCATTTACTTAACATCTCAAATGTTATTCTTTGCCTCTGGTTAGCATTAACTAAGGTCTGACAAAGGTCAGACGTATAGTTACTTAGTAATATATGATGGGGGTTCCATCAGTTCAGTTCCGTCGACACGTATTGCATAATCTTCAATCGTTAACACTCAGACAAATCATCCATAAGTGGGGATGGGCTGGCAGCCTGGCACCTGGTACACGTGTTCCTTTAGGTCTGAGAAGTGCTGTTCTGGATTATTTGAATGTAATGCCCATCTACCTTCCTTTCTATTATATAATACTGAACTGGCTAGGGCCAGACAGCTGTAAAGTTGTTTGATCTTATTTGGAGAACAAATGGGCTAAGTATTTGAAACATTTCATTTCACTACTGAATGATATTAAAATAATTTGCATAAACCATGAAGTTGACAACAAAGGCTTTAGGTTGTTTTGCATAACACTAATTCCCATGCGGAAATAATAAAGGCCTTTTGCAATTTGCCGGCTGCATAAACTCACCACAGGGCTCTGTGTAAATGGTCTGTTTTCTTGTTACTCTGAAAACCACCCCAGCCACAAGAAAGCTGCTTGGAATTACCTTTTTGTATTGTTTTTCTCGCTAATTTCTGCTGAGTGCTTGTTCTAGCGGGGTTGAGGTGAGGTGGAGGTGTTGAATTGTTCAAGATTTGCATTGCACAATGGTTGCCTAGTCTATAGGGAATTCGTCACTCAGCTCTGCTATTTTGGGAGCTGTTTATGGTCTCCTGTGTGTTGCCTGCTGGTCAGGGGCTTGGCTCAACATTTTGGACACTGCTGTACAAGGTCTGAGGAGTTGATTGGTTGAACGTGATCACATTGAGTATCACAGGTTGCAGTGAACAAATTAACATTTGTGTTTTTATTGCAGTGTAGAATATTTCCTTGGAGACCAAGAACACAATGTAATTAAGAGGTAGACATAAACAATGTGTCAATCATAATGAATATGCATAATGGGTAAACAGTAATTCTGCCCTGTAACAAAACTGTCTTCTCTCCAGTGGGATTTTGAAGACTCAAATGCACAGTGGAACAAACTGCCAAAAGAGCAAGAGAAAGTAGATGAGTTTCCCTTGCAAGAATGGCCAAAGAACCCAAGGCCAAAACCCACCGGAGTCTGCAGCTGTGGCGGCATCATTGGACAGGCTGGGAAGAGGGTATCAAGCAGAGTGGGTGACGGTGAAGTGGCATGATAATTTCAAACACTGGTGAATGACCTGGTAACACTTCCTCATTACATCACATTGTCAGATCTGTGTTTGGATTGTGAATATGAAAGATAATAAAAGGGCAGATCAATTTTTGCAATCAAACTTTCTGGTTTTGTCATGTCTCATGCTCTCATTGGGTGTAATATAAGTTATTGGTTTGTCTTCATAAGTGACCTGTGGAGTTGACATAACAATGTGGACATTGATCCAGCTGGTTTAAGTTGCATTAAAGATTTAATGAATGGGTTCAATGACTAATGGATGCACTGTATGGCCGTGCATCTGATTCTCTTTGTCAGTTTGTCAACTACAGATGCTCTCATCGCTCCGCAGATGCTCAGCCGGCCTCACAGACAGCTTTCCTGTAATGGGTTTGCACCACTCATTAAATGGATGACACCCAGACATCATCAGCTTGGCTTTCGCATGGACCGCACTAAATAACAAGACCCATTCGGGATGTCACTGTAGACCACCCTTAATAAACAATATCGCTCCCCGGCCGCCTCGCAAGGTCAAGGGTTCACTTCCTGTATTTTCCTAGTGAGGCCAGGTTATCAGGGCTGAACTGGAAAAGGCCCAGCAGACCTGATTAGGGCCAGACTAGAGGACAAGGGCTCCTCCGTCCTTCCCAGTAGCTCTCAATCCTCTGCCTGTCTGGTCCGTTTCTCTAACTAGCGGCTGGGTAGTATGGTGCCAGAGTTGTATTAACTGATGGGCATTCAAGTAACTTCCCTGGGGTCTGATAAAAGGACAATACATAGATTAGAGCAAAGTCGTGAAGCACATTCTTCTCCACCCCATTTTACATTTCCTTTGACATGTCTGCTAAAGACATTGGTCTGTGACAAGAACGACAGGTAGCCAAGCAATTGCTAATATATACTGAACAAAAATATAAACGCAACAATTTCAATGATTTTACTGAGTTACAGTTCATATAAGGAAATCAGTCAATTTAAATAAATTCATTGGGCCCTATGGATTTCACATGACTGGGCAGGGGCGCAGCCATGGGTGGGCCTGGAAGGGCATAGGCCCAGACAATCAGAATTAGGTTTTACCCCGCAAAAGGGCTTTATTACAGACCGGAATATTCCTGTTTCATTAGCTGTCTGGGTGACTGGTCTCAGATGATCCCACAGGTGAAGAAGCCGGATGTGGATGTCCTGGGCTGGCGTGGTTACATGTGGTCTACGGTTGTGAGGCCGGTTGGACGTACTGCCAAATGACGGAGGCGGCTTATGGTAGAGAAATGAACATTACATTATCTGGCAACAGTTCTGGTGGCCATTCCTGCTGTCAGCATGCCAATTGCACGTTCCCTCAACTTGAGGCATCTGTGGTGTCGTGTGACAAAACTGCACATTTTAGAGTGGCCTTTTATTGTCCCCAGCACAAGGTGCACCTGTGTAATCAGCTTCTTGATATGACACACCTGTCGGGTGGATAGATTATCTTGGCAAAGGAGAAATGCTCACTAACAGGGATGTAAACAAATTTGTGCACAAAATTTGAGAGCGATAAGCTTTTTGTGAGTATCTTTTATTTCAGCTCCTGAAACATGGGACCAACACTTTTCATGTTGCGTTTTATATTTTTGTTCAGTATAAATGTTAGGCATTTGCCATTAATTTAAAACCTCTCTATTTATTTATTTATTAAAGTATGTGGACACCCCTTCAAATGAGTGGATTTGGCTATTTCAGCCACACCTGTTTGCTGACAGGTGTATAAAATCGATTACACCGCCATGCAGTCTCCATAGACAAACATTGGCAGTAGAAGGGCCTTACTGAAGAGTTCAGTGACTTTCAACGTGGCACCGTAATAGGATGCCACCTTTCCAACAAATCAGTTAGTGAAATGTCTGCCCTGCTAGAGCTGCCCTGGTCAACTGTAAGTGCTGTTATTGTGAAGTGGAAACGTAGAGGAGCAACAACGGCTCAGCCGCAAAGTGGTAGGCCATACAAGTTGACAGAACGGGACCACTGAGGTGCGTAAAAATCGTCTGTCCTCGGTTGCAACACTCACTATAGAGTTCCAAACTGCATCTGGAAGAAACGTCAGCACAAGAACTGTTCGTCGGGAGCTTCATTAAATGGCTTTCCATGGCCGAGCAGCCTCACACAAGCTGAAGATCACCATGCGCAATTCCAAGCATCGGCTGGAGTGGTGTAAAGCTCGCCGCCATTGGACTCTGGAGCAGTGGAAATGCGTTCTCTGGAGTGATGAATCACGCTTCACCATCTGACAGACAGACGAATATCGGTTTGCCGGATGCCAGGAGAACGCTACCTGCCCGAATGCCTAGTGCCAACTGTCAAATTTGGTGGAGGAGGAATAATGGTCTGGGACTGTTTTTTTTAATGGTTCGGGACAGGCCCCTTAGTTCCAGTGAAGATAAATATTACAGCATACAATGACATTCTAGATGATTCTGTGCTTCTAACTTTGTGGCAACAGTTTGGGGAAGGCCCTTTCCTGTTTCAGCATGACAATGCCCCTGTGCACAAAGCAAGGTTCATACAGAAATGGTTTGTCGAGATCGTGTGGAAGAACTTCTGTCCTGCACAGAGCCCTGACCTCAACCCCATCAAACACCTTTGGGATGAATTGGAACACCGACTGCGAGCCAGGCCTAATCGCCTAACATCAGTGCCCGACCTCACTAATGCTCTTGCGGCTGAATGGAAGCAAGTCCCCGCAGCAATGTTCCAACATCTAGTGGAAAGCCTTTACCAGAAGAGTGGGGGCTGTTATAGCAGCGAAGGGGGGGACCAACTCCATATAAATGCCCATGATTTTGCTATGAGATGTTTGACGAGCAGGTGTCCACATACCTTTGGTCATGTAGTGTATCAACATGAATTATATGACATTGGCATTTCCTTTTATATTGCACATCTATAAAGCCTTATATATTACCTTATGTCTCAAACTCCATTGACATGCTGAAAACATAATGAGATGGTGCCAGGCATGCAGAAACCAGCACAGCACACATGCACATTCTAATTGCAGGTCCTGAAACCAAGTCACTGCCAGTGCCTTGTGTTCTGTCGTCTGAGTGCTGAGCTGGCGTTCCCCAGCCTGTGGGCTGTGAGGGGCCAGGGCCTGAGGTTTATTATTTTCCCTTCTGAGACTTGGGCAAATGAAAACAAACTGTCTTGTCCAGATAAATATGTGGAATTCTGTTTGCACAACTGACTGGGAGCGAGGATTAAAACATCTGAAGCAGCAGTCCTGAATGGGCTTTCTTGTTTTTCTTTAGGATTGGTGAGTACGTCATAGAAGCCCCCGCTCTATATTCAAGCCGGTCTACGCTATTAGAGCTTTTGCTCATCATAGACTATGCATATGCTACAGTGCCTTCAGAAAGCATTCACACCCCTTGACTTTTTCCACATTTTGCTGTGTTACAGCCTGAATTTAAAATGGATTAAATTGAGATTTAATCACAGGCCTACACACAATACCCCATAATGTCAAAGTGGAATTATGTATAAAAAAAAAATATATATATATATTTAAACAAATTAATTAAACATGAAAAGCTGAAATGTCAAGTATTCAACCCCTTTGTTATGGCAAGCCTAAATAAGTTCAGGATTTTATTGCTTAAGTCACATAAGTTACATGGACTGTGTGCAATAATAGTGTTTAACAATATTTAATGATTACCTCATATTTGTACCCCACACAATTATCTGTAAGGTCCCTCAGTCGAGCAGTGAATTTTAAACACAGAGTCAACCACAAAGACCAGGGAGGTTTTCCAGTGTCCCGCAAAGGGCACCTATTGGCTAAAAATTGGGTAAAAAAAAAAAACAGACATTGAATATCCCTTTGAGCATGGTGAAGTTATTAATTACACTTTGGATGGTGTATGAATACACCCAGTCACTACAAAGGTAAAGGCATACTTCCGAACTCAGTTGCTGGAGAGGAATGAAATCACTCATGGATTTCACCATGAGGTCAATGGTGACTTTAAAACAGTTTAATGGCTGTGATAGGAGAAAACTGAGGATGGATCAACAACATTGTAGTTATTCCACTATACTAATCTAATTGACAGGGAAAATAAGGAAACCTGTACAGAATAAAAATATTCCAAGACATCTATCCTGTGCAACAAAGCACTAAAGTAATACTGCAAAAAATGTGACAAAGCAATTAACTTTTTGTCCTGAACACAAAGTGTTATGTTTGGGGCAAATCCAATACAACACACTACTGAGTACCACTTTCCATATTTTCAAGCATAGTGGTGGCTGCATCATGTTATGGGTATGTTTGTAATGGTTAAGGACTGGAGTTTTTCAGGATAAAATAGACACGAAATGGAGCTAAGCACAGGCAAAATCCTAGAGGAAACCTGGTTCAGTCTGCTGTCCATCAGACACTGGGAGATAAATTCCCCTTTCAGCTGGACAATAACTTAAAACACAAGGCCAAATCTACACTGGAGTTGCTTACCAAGAAGACAGTGAATGAAAAAATAAATAAAAATGTATGCACTCACTAACTGTAAGTCGCTCTGGATAAGAGCGTCTGCTAAATGGCAATTTTGTTTTTACAAAAATATGTTCCTGAGTGGCCGAGTTACAGTTTCGACTTAAATCTACTTGAAAATCTATGGCAAGACTTGAAAATGGTTGTCTAGCAATGATCAACAACCAATTTGTCCAAATAAATGTCACTAGAACCAAAGTTGCTCCCCTGAGCAACCGAACCAATAGAATTAACGACCAGCCGGCTTGGGTAGCAACCCTAGATTTGTGTCGGGACTATATCTTGTGGAAGGATGAAATAGTATTAATACATTCACTAAAATAACGTTTTTTATGAAAATGTCAACCATTATTTGAATATGTTGGTAACCCGTTGTATAAAAGTGAAACACCGGCTTCTCAGACATTATCACTTAAATAGACTTATCCAGAAAGACTCACAGCTGTAAT